CAATGTGCTGTGTTGCAATGTGGCTGCCACACACACATCCGTTAGCAGGGTGGGGTGACATGTCATTGACTATGAATGTTAACGCAACATCATAAGTGATTTATTGGCTTTTACCATTGAGAGAAGGCATTTGATTTTATCAGTGATTCACCAATTGCTATGGACGACCTGATGTGCTTGCACCTCATTGCACACATTCCACACCCTGCAAATGAGAATAAATTCTAAAATATTCATCTGTTTACTTTCTGTTTATAGGCTTCCTAAATGTGAAATCTGGAGAATGTGCCTTGATTTCCTCCTCTTTTTAAAATACATTATTTCTTAATCACAAACTAACGCACACACATACATGGATCCATTAATCATGCAAACACCAATCAAAGCTAAAGCCTCGTACACACGATGGAAAAGATCAGATGAAAAATACCACTTTCTGAGCGATCTTCCAATGATCTGATTGTTAGTACACAGCTTTTGAGAGCTCATCACAACAGTTCATGTCAAATTATCTGAAAGCACAAACAAGAATGCAGGAGCACTACTGGAGCATAGCATTGACACTTACAGGAAGTGCCTGAACAAGGACCTTCATGCCAGGATCGCCAGATATTATTTTAATGAAAGCTGCAGATTTAAAATACTGAAAATGCCTTTTCAAATGACATTAACATGTTAAAGTGTCTATGAGAGAATAGCAGTTGGATTAACATACATGGTTGTTTGTTTTTTCACTCTGTAAACCACCACAAAGTAAATCTTAGTTGTCTATTTAACTGGTATAATGAGATAGGAGACATGATACAAGAGATGGTCAGACTGCAGACATGCTACAGGAGATGGTCAGAGATGGCAGACATGCTACAGGAGATGGTCAGAAATGGCAGAGATGCTACAAAAGATGGTCAGAGACTGCAGACATGCGACAGGAAATGGTTCGACACTACAGACATGATACAAGAGATGGTCAGAGACTGCAGATATGTGGCAAGAGATGGTCAGAGACTGCAGACATGATACAAGAGATTTCAGACACTGCAGACATGTTACAAGAGATTTAAGGTGGTTGAAGACATGCTACAAGGGATGGAAAGAGACTGCAGACATGTTATAGGAGATAGTCAGAGACTGCAGGCATGCTTCAAAAGATGGTCAGTGTCTGCTGACATGATATAAGAGATGGAAAGGAACTGCAGACATGATATAGAAGATAGTCCGAGACTGCACACATGATACTAGAGATGGTCAGAGACTGCATGCTACAAGAGAAGGTCAGAGACTGCAGACATGCCACAAGAGAAAGTCAGAGACTGCAGGCATGCTACAAGAGAAGGTCAGAGACTGCAGGCATGCTACAAGAGAAGGTCAGAGACTGCAGGCATGCTATACGAGAAGCCCAGAGACTGCAGATATATTACAAATGATGATCAGAGACTGTAGACATGCTACATGAGCTGGACAGAGATGGCAGACATGCTACAAGAGATGGTCAGAGACTGCAGACATGCTACAGGAGATAGCCAGAGATCATACACGACCAAATATACTTTAGGAGTTGTTGGAAAGTGGAGACATGTTTTAGGAGACAGATTTCTACAAATCAAAGCTTTTATAGCCATTTACAAAATTATTGCCTCCATATTTGTGTTCCCTACAGCCCCTTAAAAATGATGTGTGCCACATCTGAAATTTCATTCAACAATATCCTTTATAAAAACATAAAGGGATGGGCAAAACAACTAAAACCAAGCATGTGTGAAAGAAATAAACCAACTTCACTGGTTTGAGCAAGTACCTAAGTAAGGAAAACACAGGCTACTGTTTGCAGGAGCCCTGAAGACCATCAGTTGCGCACCAGGGCTCTTACAGAACATTTGGCCAAGTATACAATAATTATTTTGTTTGCTGCAGGTAATACAAGACTGTAATTGAATATAGTGTACCAATAAACAATCCCCAGTCTCTGCTAGGTTCCTGTAAACTTTGTCTAAATGAAAAAAAAAGCCAAGTACACCATTTTGTTTTTGTCCTTTTTTTATTGTAAAATCTTTCAATAAAAAATAAGTTAAAAAAAACAAAAACACAAAAATACTTACAAATACAAACATTTAAAGTACTAAAATAATATGATAAAAGGCTAAAGTAGCACTTACTAATTTGTATTTTCTCGGGGTCTTTTAAAAAAATGAACAGAAAATAGGGAACAAAAGTGGATCTGAATCAGATCATAAGAAATTTCAGGTTATATGTTCCCGGGTTTAAGCACCTTCTAAATGCACTAGAGAGAGGCCAAGTGACAAGAGCCTGTTGTCCAATCCAGAAACAGTGGGAATCCATGTAGAAGAATTCATATAAAACTCATAGTACATTAATCTGAGTGACTTTCTCCTAGGCAACGCTCCCCCTCCAGAACTGAGCCTCCCCACTCTACTGATGAGCTCCTTGGGCTCTCTCCTTAATTGGGCACTTTCTTTGAATAAACTGCAAAGGCACAAGATGTCTGCTTGAGAAACTCAATAAAAAGCCTGCATGTCTGAAAAAGGGGAGCATGCTGCCAAAAGAAGGCTGTCAAAGATTATTCTGCCTTCATAGTGGGTATGTGTGTGCGGGGGGGGGGGGTCTACATTAAAGTAAGCTGGTCACACCCTTGAGCAAATCAAGTTGAACATAAGTTGCAAAAATTATAAGTAAAGGCAGGTATTTTTTTTCCTAGAAAATAGGTACAAGAACTCAACCACGACCTCCAAAACCCCCCTCTCCTACACACACCCTCCAAACCACATTAAATAATGAGTGTGGTCATATTTCATTAACAGTAGGAGGGTCTTTAAGGGCCATTAAATAAATACCAGGAGTGCATTACGTACAGAGTGCAGAGTTTGGGGGGAAGGAGGGTTACACATGGAGAGTGGAGAGTTCAAGGGTGCACTACATGCAGAGTTCAGGGGTGTGCTGTATACAGAGTGCAGAGTTCAGTGATGTGCTACACACAGAGTTCAGTCGTCTTTTACAGCTGCTTACCTCAGCATCCCCCACCCACATCTCACTTTCACCCCTCTTGAGCTCTGACCTCTGCATGCAACCCCCCCCCCCTCCACTGCCCTGCTCCTTAAAAGCTCCTCCATCTTCCACGTGTTTTACTTTTGTTGCTGTATTAAGCTGAAGCACCCAGAAGGGTCTAGAACCTCCCCGCACACTATAGGTGGCTCTGCCTCTCTCGCTTGCAGGAAAAACTTCTAGTGGGAGTGTCGGCATCCGCACTTCACCCTGGGTATCAACATCTCTCTTGTCCCCATCCTGCACTCAGTGGGAGCCACTCACAAGATCAGATCTGTGGGAGCCGTTGGGAGACAAGCTCTCACATGTAAACACAGAAGCCAGACTTTTGTGTTTACAAGTGATAGTGGTGAGCAGGGGGCCTGAGCCAGAGGTGGTGTAGCTAAGTTCCACTAAGTTCCAGCAGAAAAAAAGCTCTGAGTACAGGTTACCTTGAGTGAAAACTGCCTATTAAAACAAACAACAAATCTAGAACTATAGGAAGTTGCAGTTATAGGTTATATTTTTTACTTTTTTGCTGTTATTGATCAAATTTGACCTGATTCCCACTTCAACTCCTTCTTATGAGTACTTTAATGTGACAGATAGTCTTACTTGACCAATAAAAAGGCTCAGAATGAAGGGGCTGAACTGTTACAGAAAAATAAAGATTTCTTATCTACCTGTGGTTTCCACTGATAGTAACTTTTACCTGTGCATTTTTTTAAATTATATACAGTATACAATCTTCATTGTCCAGGTGTGTAACTGATTTACTTTAATTAAAGCTCAGAATGAAGACATTATCTACTTTTTCAAAGTAATTCTTTAAAAATCTTATTTGTTCTGATATTAAAGTTTCAGAATACTGAAAGGTAAAGTGTTTCTCCTTAAAAACAAACTCCAGAACAAAAAAAAACTATATTAATGTCAGAACTATTTAGATCTGTAAATGTGATTGTAGTAATTCTGTGTAAATTTCTGAAACTGGGACAGCTGTCAGTACAAGTCTGGTGTGATCTGCTACACCAGACATCCAGAACAATTTGGTGTCTTTGTTCATCTTGCATTATAGAGACACTGGGGTTTATTTACTAAAGGAGTGCAAAATCAGGCTCACTTCTGCATAGAAACCAATCAGCTTCGAACCTCAACTTGTTTAATTAGGCTTTGGTAATAAAACCTGGAAGCTAATTGGTTTCTATGTAGATGTGTGCCTGATTTTGCATTCTCCAGCTTTAGTAAATAAACAACACTGTCATTTTTCACATTCATAGCAAAGTGGCATTGTCTTTGGATAGCTCATTCCCACAGCAAGGCATACTCACTAGTCCATGCTCCCTTGTCAGCTCCCAGCTACAGAAAGTCCATTCTGCGTAAGCTTTGATATTGGAGTTTATTTAAGCGGATGATGTCGGCGCATCCCAACATGACCATGTTGAGGTCTTTCAACTAACTGCACAGACTTGAAAAAGGAGTTAATTCCATTTTCTCCAGAAACCCCCTTAGAATACAGCAATGGAGCAGGTAGGCAGCAATGATTGAATTGTTAGGTGGGCTATCAGGAGACACTGTCAAACTTCCTTGAATGATAAAAGCAGAAGTGTGCCTTTGAGGTCACGAAGTGCCGTTGGGAGCCATGATGTGTCTGTGTCCACCTCCACCACTAAAATTCTTAACATATTGAGGAAAGGATTACATACAATATCTCTTATTTAGAGGCAAAGGGGTCTTACAATGTTTTTTTTTTTTTAAATCTATATAGAAAAGGAGGCGGTTTCTCTGAAAAGAGCACTGTGGTTATATTATGTAGTAGTTTACATGTAAACATTATTTTGCTGAATTTAGCTTTAAGTAAATACTGAACAAATTTAAAACTATAGAAAAATATATATCCTACAGTACAAAATGTAACATTTACAAAATGGTCAAAACACATCACCAGATCGTACACAACTGCATTCTCATATCAGAAATCTTTCATCTATTAGAGTTTTGGACGCCAGGTTCTTCTGTCCTGCAGCCCCACGGATGTGACGGAAACACTAACGAACAAAAACATTCTCATGGTCAATAGGAAAGCAAAGTAGTTTCAAATAAAAGAGTTCTATTTTTCTATAAATATGACCTGTGAAGATATGCATCCCAGTTTTTGAATTTAGGAAGGTGACTAATCTGCAAATTAGCTCTCCTAAATCAGGTACTAGAGATAATTTGTTTCCTGTTCCCAGGCTGGGATTCAAGTTTCATCATCCTGTATTTGTGGCCATGACATGTTGAGCACAAGACCCACAAACACAGAGAACCTACACTATATTGTCAAAGGTTTGTGGAAACCTGACTATACTAAAGGTGTAGTGTGTGCCACCTACCTAAATGGCCAAAAATATGTTGCCACCCTTTCAAAATTATTGCATTCAGGTGTTCCCAGTGAGGTTACTGTTAAAATTACAACATGAAAATACATTTCAGATAATTTCAACCTTGTGGCAACAGTTTGATAAAGGTCCCTTTCTGCTCCATCCTGACTGTACCCCTGTACACAAAGACAGCTCTATAAAGACATGGTTTGATGAGTTTGTTGTGAAATAAATGCAAGTGGCCTGCACTCAGCCTTGACCTTAACTCTACCAAACACCTTTGGGATGAATTGTAAGGCTGATTGTGAGCCAGATCTTCTCGTACAAACATATAAGTGCTGAGTGAGCACAAATTCCCACAGGTGCACTGCAAAATCTCATGGAAAGCCTTCCCAGAAAAGTGAAGGCTGCGATAGTGTTATAGCCACAAAAGGGGTGACAGCTCCATATCAATGTCCATTATTTTGGGATGAGATTAAAAAAATCTCATATTGGTGAAATGTTCAGGCCTCCACAAACTTTTGACCATTTGGTGAATTTTTTGTAAATTCTTCAACATGACTGTTCATGACTATTAAAATCACAAGAAACAGTTTTTCTGAAATTCCATTTGGATTTTGTTTTGTGGTCAATTTAAAGACAAGCAGTGCTTAGAAGAGAATTTTTGTTAGTGGAATTACACAGATATACAATACATAGGCTGTGCAGTCTGACAATGGCAGGTTGTGCTTACTCTATATGTGAAAATACAATATAATAAATTGCATACCGACATAGAATGACTTACCTCTTGCTGCAGGTATGTGATGACTGCAGCCAGAACAAAGTTTTGTGACATGATATCAACAATGCAGAAAAACAGAGTATCAAAGATGATTAGTGTTGATTCATGACCGTAGAAGAGAACATCACTGAAGGAATGATTTTCATCTGTGGAGATAGAAAACATTCTTTTTCAGTTAGAGAAAGAAAACGTATATACAAACATGGAAACAGTTTTATGCTGTTTAAGAGAAACTCTGCCTGTACTTAAAATGGCTCAATGACTTTTTTTGACTGCAGGAAGGGAAATCAAAATTGAATATTAAAGTATGATAATTGTTTTATTTAAAATAGATATGACCTGTGTGTTCCATATTCCCATTCTTTAATAGATCCAAAAGAGAACACTTGGCTTTCTGGATCCATAAAAATAGAGATTATTTGTTTGAATCAGGATGTTTCCAGCAATTGTGTTACAAAGTTCAGTTAGAGAAGGAAGCATATTGGCTGCAGCTGCTGAGAGCAGTGTTTGAGTATGACAGTGGGCAAAGCAAACTATCAAGCTCATACATGGCATAGACTCACAGCTAGTATGAATCAAGTCCTCTGGGGGTGAGAGGGTACAGTACTACATAGGCTTTGTCTATGCAAGCTATAAATGATGCAGCTTTCTTTCCTGCAACCATGGGTTGCCGGAAAGAAAATTGCTCAATTCTCCCATCAACAGAGTCAGTGTTGATGGGGGAATTCCTCCCACAGCGCTATTGTGTTCTGCTGGTTGGGAGTCTATAGCCGCCGGCAGTAATCGCATGCAAAAAGTCCAACAACTTGGGTGTACTGAAGCTGATCAATGGATCGACATCAGTATAGCCATCTTGCCCATAGACATATCAAATCTTGGCTAATCCCTGCTGAACTGGCTGAGATTGGATCCATCTATGACTGACTTAAATGCAGAAAGTGGTTATCAAAACACTATATCATTAAAGTCAAAAAAAATTATTCATAGCTGCAAAAGGAGGATGAGGCGAACACCCCTATGGGGTAAAGGAAAAGGAGAAAAGCATCACCCATCCTATTACTTTGCACTATTCTAGTGTGATGAATTGTTGAAAACATGGACAAATCTGTTTCCTAAGGGATGTTAAATAAGAGTTGTGTAAATGAAAGATACAATACCATTATAGAAGATACTTCTGTCCATTGGCTCCATGAACTCCATGCTGAGCACTCGCTCCAAAAGCAGTTTGTCTTTCACAAAGTAATCCATGTCTTTGAAGGACTGCAACAAGAGCAAATGAACATTCTACAGGTTCCATCATAACATGCACAGTAGGGTAACTACAGTAGCTTCTAAACACATTTGTTTAGAGTGAAAATGTATAACTATTCCCTCCTTTTTATTTATTAGCTATCGTCTCAATTTACAGCAATGGGTAAAGATTTTTTTAACTTCCTTTTTCCAATTCCATTATTTGTCATTTGTGTCATGGAACCAAATTCCAGGGTAAAGCTCCTTCGGCTGCTCATGCATGTGATCAAGAAAACTGTCCCTGAGCAGCTGTATTATGGGAAAACAGTTCTGATGCCGCTTGCTGGATGGTTTTAGCTGCATCGTCAAGTGTGTTTTCCTGTCACAGGTGGCCCTAGCTTGGCTTTGGCACACTTCCAGTACTAACTCTATATACATGGCTTGGATTGGTTTGGCTTGTGTTGCATTTCCTGAATGCCTCTAGAAAAACATAGAAGACTGACAGCAGAAAAAGACAAAATGGTCCATCAGGTCTGATATTTTAGCTTTTTGTCTGAAGTGGACATGTCAAGCATGTTAAAATTCACTTACTGTTGGATTAGTTAATTACCTCTGCTGGAACTCTATTCACTACTCTTTCAGTAATATAACACTTTATAAGGTTTCCCTTTGATTTTTCTCCTGCAAGTCTTAAGCCATGCTCCCTTGTACTTGTTCTTGGATTGATTATGGAAATTTGATTAGAATTGATGTTTTCTATTTACTTTGTCCTCGTGTACAATGGTAGAGGAACAGCAAATAATGGGACTTGAAATACTCTTCCAATGGTCAAATATGCATGTGACACGCTTGTTAAAAAATGTTCCAACACTTTATGCCAATGAATTAAAAGTACATAATTTCCATTAAAAAGTATTAATGAAAATGGAATGTAGGTGCTACCAATTGTCTTCCATATACAGTGATGGAGGGACTGTAGCATAGAGTCCTTTAGAGATCTGAAGTGTTTTTGTCCTCATGTACAAAAAACCCTGCTATTCTACCTTTCCTGACTCTGGCCATGCTTTCGGTAGCTTGTGTCAAGATATATCCAATGGGGAAAACCATTGGATATATCTTGACACAAGCTACTGAAAGCATGGCCAGAGTCAGGAAAGGTAGATGAGCAGGGTTTTTGGTACATGAGGACAAGGGTGCACTTCTATTCAGGGATCTCTGGTGTTTACTAGATACTACAGTTTACATAGACTTGATTTTAAAAATTGCACTTCAAGAGTTTAATGTGACAGGTGAATTCTGGGTGAAATATAAGGGAATCCGGGTTAAAACGAAAAAGTTAAAGTTTTGTTACTTATCGATATGCCATGGAATATAACATTGATATTTCTATAGTAAATTGTAGCAATGTTTTTATTGGAGTTTCATTTAAAGTTTGCACTAGAACAATGTGCTCTTTAGTTACACCTTTAACATTGAGGCTACACTCACATATTTGTGGGTGTGGGAGTGAGTGTAAATTGCATGCATTCCTGCAGCCGTGCAAAAAAACACAGTGCTGTATAGAAAACACGTAAGGGTACCAATAGCTCTTAAGGGTACCCCCACACACTGAAAAACGCGGTGCGGTTTCTTGCACATGGAAGTTGCATGGTGCAAAAGCACCATGTGATTTCCATGCAGCCGCATTTTAAAAAAGGTGCAGGGACCTTTTCCCTGCAGGAAATGCGGGCACAGAACCCCATTCAAATAAATGGGCTGCAGTGCTCATGTGGCATGGAGAGCCCCATAGATGTGAACTGGGCTTTAAAGTGACAGTACATATAAACTGCCCTGACATGCATAATGAACACATACAGTACACTCGTAGCACATAAAGTTGGAAAACTGGTTTCAAAAATAATCATCCAGACAGGATACATACATGGTCAATGAAGGCACTGAGGAATTTATTCATGGTGTGATAAGCCTTTGTGCTCTGTTCAGATGCAGTTGGCGAATTCTGAAGAAAGCGCGAAGGTCCATGATTCTGAAAATAATACAGAGTATCTTTTAGGCTCTGTGTACACCGTATTGGGACATTTGCAAAACACTGATAACTTGGATCATTTTTACCTTTGTTAAGTTGCTGTGTATCCGGTCAAACTGGGTTCGGAGTCTGCCAGATATAGAGATCTGAAAAGTCTGAATATCGGAGTTTGGTTGTAGCCCTCTCTGACTACACATGTTCTCCTAAAAATAAGGAGCCAGCACTGAAATTCACATTTATACCAATATATACAGATAAGGTTAGGAAACACAAAAATCATTATGCTTATAAAGCTTCTAATACTTCAGACTGTCTTCTAGAAGAGACAACTACTCTTAATGTTTTACCTTCAACTGTTCCTTGAGCAGCTGCTGCCAACACTGGGAACTGAATTCCTGAGTCATTTGTATATAATGTAGGAGCTGCTTACAATGACAAGAGGCAGATTTACCCCTGAACCTATCTGAAGCACTCTCTGGGGTATATGTACTGCTGGCTGAGAACTAGTGTCCCTTGGCCTGTTCTCCTCTCTTCACTCAGAAATTACAACGCATATTTAGGTACCTATTATTGCTATTTTGTACTTGGGACTATGCTTTTAACCTCTGCTGTGCTTTTAACCTTTTAGTACAAACTGATGTTTTTTAAATTGTACACCTAGCTATTGCTTTGGATAGTAACAACTTAAGCTGGTCATAGATAAGCTGGCACGGCACTGCCCCCCACCACACCCAAGGCCCTGCCTACCGTAACCCCCCCATCACTGCACTCCTTCAGCCCTACTACCACTGAGGAAGTCAGCAGAGTCTTCTCAGAAGCCCGCCTCACTACCTGCCCCCTGTCCCCACCCTATCCCCTCTCAACTCCTCCGGTCACCCCCCTCTTCCCTTCTTCCCTCATCCGCTCCCTTACCCACATCTTTAATCTCTCCCTCTCTACTGGCGTCTTCCCCTCCCCCTAAAACATGCGCACATCACCCCCATACTCAAAAAGCCCTCCCTGGACCCCACTGACCTCAACAACCTCAGACCAATTTCCCTGCTGCCACTCACTTCCAAGCTCCTTGAGCGCTTGGTCTTCGATCGCCTAAGCGCCCACCTGACTGACAGCAACCTCCTTGACCCACTACAGTCCGGCTTCCGTCCCCTACACTCCACCGAAACTGCCCTCCTCAAAATCACCAACGATCTACTAACCGCCAAAGCCAAAGGCGACTACTCTGTCCTCCTCCTCCTAGACCTCTCCGCGGCCTTTGACACAGTCGACCACCCCCCCTCCTCCTTAATAAACTACTCTCCCTTGGCATCAGAGACACCGCTCTCTCCTGGTTCTCGTCCTATCTATCCCAACGCTCCTTCAGCGTTTCCTACAACGGTGCCACCTCCTCCTCACTGCCCCTCTCTGTTGGGGTCCCCCAGGGCTCTGTCCTTGGACCCCTTCTCTTCTCCATCTACACCTCCTCCCTTGGCAAACTCATACACTCCCACGGCTTCAATTACCACCTCTATGCTGATGATACTCAAATCTACCTATCCACCCCTCACCTCACCCCCACATTCTCCGCCCGCATCACTCACCTCCTAAACGACATCTCTGACTGGATGTCGCTCCATTTCCTCAAACTCAACCTCTCCAAAACCGAGCTTCTCATCTTCCCCCCAGCCCGCGCCCCCCCCATCCTTTCCATCACTACCAACAACACCACCATCAATCCCGCCCAGCAAGCCAAGGTCCTTGGCGTCATTCTGGACTCAAACCTTTCCTTTCAACCTCATATCAAATCTCTCACAAACACATGCAGGCTCCACCTCTGGAACATCTCCAAGATACGCTCCTTCCTTACCCCAGACACCACTAAACTACTAGTACACTCCCTGATTATCTCACGCCTGGACTACTGCAACTCCCTCCTCACCGGCCTACCCCAGTGCAGGCTCTCCTCCCCGCTTCAGACCATCCTGAACTCAGCGGCCAGACTCATCCACCTCACCAGCCGCTCCACCTCTGCCACCCCCCTCTGCCTCTCCCTCCACTGGCTCCCCATTGCCCAACGCATTAAATTCAAATTGCTCACCCTGACCTATAAGGCCATTCACAACACTGCCCCTAACTAGCTCACCGACCTGATTCCCAGGTACCACCCTACCCGTACCCTTCGCTCTTCACAGGACCTCCTTCTATCTTGCTCCCTGGTCTCCTCCTCCCACGCACGACTGCAAGACTTCTCCAGGTCCTCCCCCATCCTCTGGAACTCACTACCCCAATCCATCAGACTGTCACCTTCCCTCCTCACCTTCAGGCGCTCCCTGAAAACCCACCTCTTCAGGGAAGCCTACCCCACCCTCACCTAACAGCCGCTGCCCTTCCCTCCTCCTACCACTCCATCCCCCACAGCCGTTTCCTCCTGTGCCTCTACCCCCTCCCTCCTAGATTGTAAGCTCGAAAGAGTAGGGCCCTCTTACCCCTTGTGTACTGTTTGATGTTACTGTTCTGTTTCATGTATTGTCCCCCCTCTATTGTACAGCGCTGAGCAAACCCTTTGGCGCTATATAAACTCGATAAATAAATAAATAAATAGATGGATGGAAATTCAGCCAGTTCAGCAGGGACTGGCTGAATTTCGATCCATTATGGGCAAGCTAGTTGTACTGAAGTCTATACCTCAATCGACTTCAGTACAACTAGCCTGTCTGTTTTCTTTTCGTTCGATCACTACTGGTGACTATAGCTGCCGCTGTCAGAATACAAAAGCTCCACGGAGGGATTCCCCCATCAACACATTTAGTGGTTGCAGGAAAGAAAATTTCTTAATGTATGGCCTGCTTTAAACTTGCTAATGTATGTGTATGTATAGGCAAAACAGAATAAGTAGGGTTGAAACCCTACCATATTTTTTTTGTTGTTTTTGTCTGTGTCCTGCTGGTGAAAAATCCCATCATTTCTTACTGTGGAGATGCAACAGGAGGTCAGTGGATATTTCCTTAATGTGAGCAGAATTCCCATATTGGACAGTTGTCAACAGAATATTTATCCACTTTGGAAGATTACTTCTCACCTTGCTTTATGACAACTGTGAAACTTAGGATTTCTACTTACTTTCTGTCTCAGTGACTATGATCACCAGTACAAATAGAGAGGGGTATATCTTACCAGAGAGATACAGACAGCCATGAGAAGGGGTATAACCTTTCCCCACTCTATCTAGTACAATATACAGTACTCTATATACTGTATAATATATAAATGTTTCAGTTACTTTGGTGGACAATCCAATATTCTGCTCACAATGGTATAAAGAAATATTACTGTGGATTGAAGGCTAGTTTGGCTGAATTACATATTTAAAAATCTATCAATTAAATATTCATAATATATTTACAATCAAAGATAAAAAAGGACAATGTCAATTTGTTACAAATCAAGGCCAACTCTACCCAAAAACTGTATCTGTATGATGAATTGTACATTGTTTTTTTTCTCTCTAAGATTGCATTGGAGAGATTTTCCTGCAGCAAATTGAAACTGTGGGATGGGGCTGAAGAACATACTAAAGAAGTCAGCCAAACTGTGGGATGTAGCTGAAGTACATACTAAAGAAGTCAGTCAGTCATTCTCGAGCATCTAGCATACCCCATTATCTATTTATTCTATACTACGGAGAATCTCTCGCAGAAGGTGTGTCACAAATATACAAGCCTGATTTCCCATTTATGGGCAACTGTCTATCATTTAGGTTTCTAACGGGAATGGCAGTTGCCCATAAATGAGAAATCAGGCTTGTATATTTGTTTTCTGAAGGCCTGGATATATAGCAACAAAAGAACTCTTTTCTGGTTGGATTTGCCGTCTAGCCCTTAGAAATAATAATTGTATTTTTCTACAAAATCAACAAAAGATGTCTTCATTCACTTACTGCTTCCCTCTTTAGATTCATGTTCATCTCCTCCATGTTGGTGTCAGAATGCCCATGGACTGAGCGGCCATGAACATAGTAACCATAGCGTTTGTGGGACAAAATGAACACTGAAATCTGCCAGTGAAAAAAACGTTAAGAAGCAAAAGTTATTAATGTAATAGAAGTAAACGGTATGGGAGCATTTCAAAGAATTTGTTGAAAGCAGAATTCCAGCCAAAAACAATTAGATGAAAGGAATAACGAATTAACACATAAAACATTAAAAAAAAAAAGGATTTTGCTCCAACATTCACCTTCAGTCCAGAGATTTCCCACACAGTACTTTTTTTTTCCTGCTACTACATGTCCTTAGCCTGATTACCAGTATCAATCAACCCACTTCCTCTTAGCCTAGGTCAGCCTGGACCTGCCCCAGTCTGTGACTGGACAGCAAAAGAGGCAGCACAATGATGAGCTCATCTATCAGTGTGGGTTCACACATGTGCAGTGCGGATTGAAACTCAGGTTTCACAGCTAACTGGCACAGTAGTTATTCAGGTCAGGTTTACATCAGGTTCAGGTCAGGATTTTATCCTGTTCACAGCTGATGACGTGCGGTTTATAAACGGTTCCCATAGAAGTCAATAGCCTGTAATCTGCACCTGAACCAGATCACACTGTTCAAAAATCATACAGGATTCCTTTGCAATCCGCACTGCCAATGCACTGGACAAATGTGAATAGGCACCATAGGAAACAATATTATTTCACATGTCATGTGGAGGGGATGCGGTTCAAGCCGCATCCAATCCACATATATGTGAACTGGCACTTACTCTGTTTTCTCCTCCTATCAGCATGCTTCTTGTCAGCAAGCACATGAACTGATTTGATAACCTTAGACTGTAAGCTTCTTTGAGGACAGGGACTGATGTGACTATAGCAAATGTAAAGTGCTGCACAAGTTGTCTGTGCTATATAATTGCCTGTAATAGATAAATAAATTGGCTCCTTATACTGCTTTTTTACTCTCACACTCAAGCACAATGTACAAGGATTAAAAGAGACTGATAACAGGTAAAATGTGGGTACTTGCACTGCTTGCATTAAAAAAAAAAGAAATTGAATAATGTATTATTGATTACAGAGTTGCATTAATTGTGCGTTTTATATATGTCTGGAGTTCAAACTCAATATGGTTTCTTCTATAACATAATTGCCTGCAGTAAAGCAATTACAAACTGGATCAGTAAGACAAACTTAATTGCAGCTTGATTCATAAATTTCTCTTTCTGCTGCCCTGAAGCAGCACTGTGACAGTATAAAACCTACAGGTACAATTAAACCATGGTAAGCCAAACTACAATATTAATATAGCCTGAATGGACATGCTTCCTGCATGTAGACGCCCCAGCCCTGGCCTCATCCAGGAGAAAAACAATAGTGATCTGCTAAAAAGATATAACATGGCCCTTGATTATACCTGCAAGCAAGATCAATGTGGTGTCTGCTGGTACTCACAGATTTAATGATCGCTCTCCAATCCAGTCAAAACTGGCCACATTCTGCAACAAGGTTTACAGATACCTTTACACATTTTAAAACAAGGCATTATCAGGATTACTTACATTACTCATTGAACATAAATCAACAAACTGTCGGATCTTGTCTTCCACAAATCTTTCATAAATTCCAGAAAAAAACAGAATCTGAAAACATGCAGCAAAAAAGAAAAAAAAAAATAGTGTTTAAATGTGAATTTTGTAAAAAATTATGGTAAAAAAGCCTTTCCTATCTTCACCAATACCTGTAAACAGCCAAAGCCAAGCCACAATGCAGAAGTCACACCATAACGCAGAATACAACTCCATGGGGCTCTGTAATCTTGTGGATCTCTGGAGAGACTTGAAGATGAATCCCGTAATGCCAGGTTTTCAAAACCAACAATCTGAGAAACATATAACCATTATAAAAAACGTCAGCACTAATCTCTCATAATAAAACAGCACAATAACAGAGAAGTCAGTTAGGGTGGCTTCAGGCTGATCTGCTGTGATTTGGCTGTAGCGCAGTGTACCCATGGTTTTCGTGCACATTCCCCATTCTGTTATTTCCCTCTGTTTTAAGGAATTTTCTGAAAGGGCATGCAGGACTTTTGGTGCGCTTTTAGAAAGCACACCAAAACCTCATGAAATTCAATGTGTTTCAAAAACTTGCAATTACAAATCAGCAGAAAAAATTTCTAATTCTTTAAAATGTTTTAATTTAAAAGCTAAAATATATTAGTCATCAATACAACAGCTGATAGGTTAATGAAAGCCACCCAAAACAGCTTATTTTAGCTGAAAAAGGATGCCAACATCTTCTTCTGTCTCTCAGGGGACTACAGTGAAGAATCTCAATGCTGCAGAATTACAACGCTATTGACCTTTGGGGAGAGAATGTTGCCTTAACCCCTGGGTGAGAACTTTATATTGTGGTCTGATTTTGACTGAAATATTTTAGTCATCAACAATTGTGCTGTCAGAAGTTGAAGGAAAAAAAAAATCGAACAAAACATATCAACCTTTAGAAAGAAGAGTACAATGAAAACTTGAAAGAGGGGGTTGATCTTGCGCACTGTCTGGATTTCATTCCATTCATTTGCAATGAAGTAAGATCTCCAGATACTGACAGGTGCAGGACCACTCTTCACACCACCTTAAAAAAAAAAAATATGACAATGAATAAATTGCAGTTATAGACTGTCTGCATCCAAGGCTGATCATTCATAAGTAAATCGCTTCATAAATCAATGATATGGGAGCAGCTGCGTTTAGCTGTCAGCCTCCCAATGCTTTCAATGGGGCTTCTGCCACTGCTAATTGTCGGAAACCCCTGCTGGGTCTCCTGCATCTGTTCACTAATGACCCCATTAGAAAGTGTGAATGGGGCCTTAAAATGTAATTCCAGTCAAAAAACATAACTAAGCTTAAACCTGCTCCTCCCCCATTCTAAGCCTATTCCTATACTCTGTAAAAAGTAAAGATGCCTATATATACCTATTCTGAAGTCGCTCCAGTCCGGTCACATGATTGGGTCCTAGTGCTGGCTTCAGTGTAGAGGAGGCACAGCCAACATCAGCTGTCCCATAGGCTTACTATGGGTGATGTCATCGGCCAGGCTCTGCAGCCACTGTCGCTGCTCTCTTCTACACTAAAGCTGCTGCTGGAGAGACCAGACCAGAGTGAATTCAGAATAGGTAAGTACAGACATCTTTCCTATTAAAGGGTAGTGTGAACCCAGCATAAAACACTGTAAAGTGACATGTCAAAGAGAAGGCACCTCCAGGTGAAACCTCTTCTGCAGTGAAATCTGAGACCAGCTTCCATGATTTGAAACCTTGCCCCAAAAGGGCAGCCTTACTAACCATACCAGCATGACCCAGGATTCTGGAGTCCCCTTGAGCTCTGAAGGAGATCCAAAGCAATGTACGGACACCTGGAGGTAAATGCCATTGCATTAGGTGCCACTGTTTTGGTGTGCCCATAATCTTAAAACTTAAAATAAACCTGTGTGTCCCCACCCTGTATATGCAAAATATAATGCTTGTTCGGTCTATGAGGATCTAATAAAGAGGAATAATTACTTTACTCTGAAGTCCTGTAGCATCCGACACTTTGGACTTCTTCAATCCTGCCCCAGAATGCTGGCAGTTCCTCTACATCATTACATACCATGTAGGAACAGCTGTGGCTGCTGGTCCTGCACTGTACGTAAGGATGTTGGCGAGAAGGTAAGAAACACAACTGAAGAAGAGGAAGGGCTTCAGAAAATGGTCATCAATACTGCAACTGCCTGGGAGGAAGCCTGTGGGGTTGTGGGGTATTCCTGTACATTAGAAACAGCAGACTCTTGGGCAAAGATTTATTAAAACTTATGCACTCAGAATCTGGTGCAGCCGAGCACGGCAGCCAATCATCTCCAAACTTCAGCTTGATCAGTTAAGCTTTGAAAATAAAACCTAGAAGTTGATTGGTTTCCATGCAGAATTGCACCAGATTTTACATGCTCCGGGTTTAGCAAATGCACCCCTTGGTGTCCAGTCTGCAGCCTTCCAGTACTTATTGGGCAGCCCCTGGACTCCAGTAGTAGTGGGAGTGAGCGCATTGAATTGTAAAGGATTTATGGTTTAAAGCAAACCAGTGCAAAGCAAATGGGACTAACATTAAAGCAGTGATCTCTACTAGCCTCATGTAACATGCTTCTAGTCCCTCATTCAGCAGAATGTCACCAGTCTCCAATCAAACCTGTAGAATGTCCACAGTTTTTAACCATCATTCCCATGTATTTTCTAGTATGCCTGCAGTCTCTGAAAACCTTCTCAAGCATTACATATACTGAACTATATGAAGCCCTTCTATAATGTCAGCAGCTGCAGCTGGAGCTGGGCTGTTATTCAAGACTCTTTAGAATGTGCTTGCCACAATATCCTAATGGAACCCATATAGACTTTTCCTGCAACACCTGGTTTACAGGTTCAAACACTCAAGTCTATGTTTGACCACTCCAAGCCTTTCAATTCTGTTTTTGACTTAGAAATACACATAAAAGTATAATCTCACCTTCTGATTTTAAGGTTCTGTTTTTGGGTCTTTCCCAGTCAATGAAGAAAATATCAATGGTCAGCTGAGAGATAAGAGTGTGCAAAAACTGAAGGGCCTAAAACAGAATTGATACAAATACCTTCAGACACACACAATAAGAAATATAATCTGTAGAATCACTATAAATAAATATATGTTTTAACTAATTACAACCCAGGAACACACCAGGTACTTAGTAAATCCTTAAATGTCCCACAACCCTGCTTAGTGTGCAACTTCTGAGTTGCAGATGGCAGGACCATTTATGATGTCAAAAATATTTACATGTGAATTCCAAGGCTGGGTATTAGAATTCACTCACAGTTTCCTCTATTAGCAGCCCACGTAGGGCAGCACCAGAATATCTGCAATCAGTGTGTGTGGGAGGACCCTGCGAGTTAGATTAGTACAGCCACCATTACATTGTCAATTCACACAAAGACCTTTATATTTATCAGTGAAGGTAAGAATGATCACATGGCTGACAGTAACAATTGTTATGACAAATAAAACATGCATTGTAGCATGGTGAATATGTTTTATCACATCCCTTCCACAGACCAGTGCCAGTATTACTACTTTGTGGCCAGGCAGCTTGGCAGTTTCAAAGAGAAAATGAAGCAAGCCAAACATAAAAAGCCAACAGGAGCATGAAATTATTCAAAAAAATGCTATTATAGCTGCAAGATCACCCAATTGCTGAAAGCTGAGCATCCATCCCATGGAGAAGCTCCTGGGGTAGAAGCTCCTTGTGTGCATTCTATGTCCAATGATAGACTTTGTGGGAAGTGGATTTCCTAGCCCTGAGTATGGTAAGAATCACAGACTCAGAGATGCCTGTCCCTTACAACCTGGGCTTCAACAGCCATGCTATTATAGTCAGAGACCAATAAGAAGGATGGCATATTGGTCCTTGGGAAAAAGGTCTGGCAGGGCCTATGGACAGTCTGCTAACATTCTTAACAGGTTGGCATACCACATTAACCTGAGGCAATTTAGAGCAATGTATCACTGGTACTGGATTAGCATCTTGTGAATACCTGAGGTGCAGAGGAAAGGCCAAATGACAGGGCCACAAATTGAAGATGTAGAAGGTACACAGCAAAGTTTAGAAAATGCTGATGCGATGAAAAGATGGGGATATGTAGGTACGCATCCTTTGTGCCTGCAGATTTCATACAGAACTTCTAAGCCTAAATAAAGACATTCCAAGCTTTAAGATGCAAGATGGGGCAGATTCCCCTTTGTGCCTGGAATCTGAACAGTTCAGAGTAAAGCCTCCTAAAACCATTCTGCCACAGTGAGTTGGGCAATGACACCCTGATCTAATGGACCTCTCTTGTGCTACCTGTGTGGTGACAAAGCAAGGTCAGAAGTGCGGAGCCAAGGAGGGGAATGAGAACAAAACTCAATCGTGTAGCCCCAGGAAACCACTTCCTGCATCCAAGCACCTGAGATAAAGGATATACAAGTGCATGCAAACACTAATACACACACCCCCCAGTTTGGAAAGTGGGGGGTGCACTTTCATGCCCAAGAAGACTGAGGTTTGGCAGACTTTGAGTTTGGACATGGAGTTTTCAGACATGGAGTAATGAAAAGGACTTTCTTAACCTTCAGTGGGAATGATGAGTTTTCCCAGACTGAGTCTTAGTCTTCATTTGCTGAGAAAGATAGGTGCTCTTTTTATCTGTGGTGATGGCATACAGAATAGACCTTAAGAGGTGCTGTCCCTCAACGGCCATGTGGAGTAACCACTTCTTACATGCTGGTTCCACAGTCCAGTACTTTAACCAAAGTGCTGTCTGCCTGTGGACTGGCAGGAGACTCATGTGGGAAATGAGATGGGAAACAAACAGTCCTACACAAAAAAGAAAATCTTGTCAGGGTATTTCCATTCTCCTTAAAGGAGAAGTAGGTGCACAAGATAGGTCTTGGTGGTCTTAGGCACCCTAAACAATCCTAGCCTAACTACAGCACTAGTGGAAGCAATGGTTTAATCCTCTAGCTTCAAAGTGGTGCATACTGTGTCAATAAGAGACAAACAGGTCTCATTTAGTTTAGGGATGATGGCAGAAGACCAACTCTTGGAGGCAAGTTCAACTGGTAGGGACTGGAGAGATATGGAACTGGGCAGAGTTTCAGCTGCCATGGCTCAGAGGATGCGGGCAGATTTGATTGAGAATCTGCGGGGGAAGGTGCAGGAGAGCACTTGTGTTGCCTCTGTATACAGAGTCATTACACAATTGTGTGAGCAGAGGAGGCGGCCATGTCGGACAGATTAGAGAAGATTCTAAAGATTGTACAGAGTATAGCAAGAACAAAGCAAGATGATTCCAGGCTGCAGGGGGGGCAACCGGAATAGTGGGACTGCCCCCCCCCCCCGTGCTTAGGAATCAGACCTGTTGCAACCTTGTGGTGGTGAAGCAGTGCTGCTCAGGGTACCAGGCAAGGGCTCAGGTACTCGCAAAACCCAACCATTGGTAGCAGGTGAGGGCCGGATAACCAGAAGTGACTGAGTCACTTTAGGTGTGCAGCAGGAACAGACTGATTATTGGAGTTCCATTTGGCTCTTGGCAAATCAGGAACAGCAGCACGAAGATTCTTCTTCAACACTGAATAGAAGGAAAGCAGATGTTGTCAGCAGCTAATGCAAAAGAATGAACTCTTCCTCAGTAGTAACTGAAGGGAACCTGGTATTTTATAGATGCCCAGCAATTCAAATAAATCTATTATTATTACAGGTACTTGTATAGCGCCCAGGGGCGGACTGACAACTCATGGGGCCCCTGGGCAATAGGGGATCATGGGACTCCTGTGTCCTTGCCCAAACTCAAAGAGCCTATAAAAAAGGTACCAGGGGCATCTCATGGGGCCCCCTACTGACCCCGGGCCCTCGGGCAGTGCCCGAGTTTCCAAATGGTCAGTCCGCCCCTGATACCGCCATCAATTTACGCAGCACTTTACATACAGTATATTGTACATTCAGATCAGTCTCTAACCCTCAAGAAGCGTACAATTTATGGTCCCTAACTTACATTCATACATACACATACTAGGGCCAATTTAGACAGGAGTCAATTAACCTACCAGCATGTCTTTGGAGTGTGGAAGGAAACCGGAGTACCTGGAGGAAACCCACGCAGGTAAAGGGAGAACATGCAAACTCATGAGGTAGTTCCTGGTGCTCTGCCTGATCAGCTTACTCACTGAGTAAATTTTCAAACACACAGCAAGCACTGAGGCAAAGGCAAACGGCTCTGGACCTGGAAAGTGCTTCACAGCTAATTTGTTCCTAGATACAACCTGGAAAGCAATTGCCTGAAAGTCACTACCAGGCTAGCTCTGCAACATCCAGCCCAGTGAGGTCCAGTCACAGCACTACAAGAAGGCAAAGCTGAGGATAGGCCACACTGGGTAGCTCCTTTCGCAGGGCCAGCTCTTGCAGCATATCTTGATTAGAGAAAAATTTTGAAGAAAAAAATAGTGCTACTAAAAATCAGTTAGTCCTTCACTAGAAGAGATGTCCATCCTCCTAGGATACTGAGGCAACTGGTAGTAGGAATAGTTTTTTTTTTCCCTCAATGAATAGAAATACATTTTTTTTTTACATTGTTGTGTATTTGTCAGCCTATAATTTAAACAGTGGTCAGGAAAAGGTTAAGAAACAATGCCTTATACTGGACTAATGTGGACTGGTTGGTCAAAGCACTGTATAAAGATACTGCCATACCTTCAAAACAAATGCACATGATACATAAGTTATAAAGTCTTTTTCATCACTGGGTAGAGGCAGTAGCACAGAGACATATTGCTGACCCTAAAAAACAAACAAGACGCTGAAATTAAATCAAACTCTTTCTTAAAGGAAACCTGATATTTTTAATAATTATTAAGCATATACTGATTCAACATACAGTACATACAGTTGTGCTCAAAAGTTTGCATACCCTGGCAGAAATCGTGAAACTTTGTCATTTATATTGAAAATAGGACTGATCATGCCAAAAAACCCTGTCTTTTATTTAAGGATAGTGATCATACGAAGCCATTTATTATCACATAGTTGTTTGGCTCCTTTTTAAATGATAAAGATAAACAGAAATCACCCAAATGGCCCTGATCAAAAGTTGACATATCCTGGAATGTTTGGCCTTGGTGCAGACACTTGGGGCAGTAAAGGCTGCTTTCTGGTAACTCTACCATGTAGCTAATTTTTGTTCAAGTATTGTCATATTGTGCTCCTCCAAAACAATCATTCCAGAGAAGCCTGTATTTCTCCTGAGGTAACCTGTGGGTTTTTCATTGTATCCCAAACAATTATTCTGGCAGTTGTGTCTGCAATCTTGCTTGGTCTACCTGGCCTTGGCTTGGTATCAAGAGATGGCTGAATTTTCCACTTCTAAATGATTGAACAGTACTGAAAGACATATTCAAGGTTTTGGAAATCTTCCATCTCTATAAAGTTCCATTACCTTGTCACGCAGGTTATTTGACAGTTCTATTCTGCTCCCCATGGCTCAGTATCTAGCCTAGTCACTGTATCCATGTGAAAGCTTTCAAACTCATTGACTATTTATATACAGATACTAATTGCAATTTAAAAAGTCACAGATGTGGGAAATTAACCTTTAATTGACATACTAACCTCTTGCCCTCCAGAGGATTTACCCCTTTCCTGACCAGGCCATTTTTTGTGATGTGGTGCTGCATTACTTGAACTGACAATTGCGCACTCATGCAACGCTGTACATAAACTAAATTTATGTCCTTTTTTCCCACAAATAGAGCTTTCTTTCTGGGGTATTTGATCACCTCTGCGTTTTTTATTTTTTGCACTATGAACAAAAAAAAATACTGACAATTTTTTAAAGAAAACAATATTTTTGACTTTTTGCTATAAAACATATTCAATAATAAAAAATGAAAAAATCTAATTTCTTCATAAATTTAGGCCAAAATGTATTCTGCTATATGTCTTTGCTAAAAAAATCCCAATACGTGTAAATTAATTGGTTTACGTGAAAGTTATAGCGTTTACAAATGGCGGTATAAATACTGGAATTTTTATTTTTTTAATACTAGTAATGGCGGCGATCAGCAACTTATAGCGGGACTGCAGTAGGCATTCTGACACTGGGTGGGAACTGACTAACTGCCACTGACATCCCCAGTGACACTAATACAGTGATCAGTGCTAATAAAAAGCACTGACACTGTACTAATGACACTTGGCAGGAAGGGGTTAACATTTGGGGCGATCAAAGGGTTAACTGTGTGTTGTGTGTGTTTTACTGTGTACTGTTTTATTAGGGAGACATGCTGTGCAGAGAGATATAAAAACAGTATGTCCATGCTGACAGAAGAGAGACCTGTGTTGTTTACACACACGTCTCCCCCGTCAACTTTCCCTGCCAATCGGCGAGTACCGGCCGGGAATCACCAGCCAGGACCCAGTGATTGACATCTCTAGCAGCCAATAGCGGCGCAAGTATTTATACATGTAATTTTGCGCAGCCCTGCCACCCTGTAGCAGTACTTCTGCTATAGGGTGGAGGGCAAGCTGTGTGTGTCACCTTGTGTGTCTGTACCAAGGCCGAACATTCCAGGTAAACTTTAACCTTTTGATCATGGCCATTTGGGTGATTTCTGTTATCATTATGATCTATAAAAGGAGCCAAAAAAGTTATGTTATAATAAATGGCTTCACATGATCACTATCCTTAAATAAGAGACAGTTTTTTTGGGCATGATCAGTCATATTTTCAATATAAATGCCAAAATTGCCTGATTTGTGCCAGGGTATGCACACTTTTGAGCACAACTGTATGTATAAGAGTAATCTGGAAGAAATGAGTCCCAGTGCTTCTCTTACAAAACATATTATAAGTTATAAGAGTTAATGAAAGCCTCAACACAAATAGTAGCTACAAATAGTAGTATAAACTAACCTCAGGCCACTGCACCAGTTTCTGTCAATGGTGGGGTCAAAATTCAGGATTGTCAAAAAGAAATGCCCGATGACCAGCAATGAGATGGCATATTTGCCTGAATGACATCAGAGGCATCTTGACCAATCCATGTAAACAGGGCAATTTGTTCTGTTGTGCAGGCTGTCATCTTGTTTGTGGATATAAAAAAAAAAAATCAACTGCACAGGAGACATTCACAGCTTAGCTTGCTCGGATGCCTGTGACATCACCCAGGGAGGCAGACTGTCTTGAAGTTGGTCATCAGGCATCATTGTCATTACAACCAGCCTCAATGAACCATTCAACAACAGACATATCAGTCCCCCACTGCTAGGGTAAAGTACATTGGTGAATTTTATTTGTGTTCACACACTCACTGCCTCTTCTCTACAATATTTGTAGAGTAATTTTACCTAAGAATTCTTTTTAAAATATTTGCCTGATTAATTCTGGATGATAAAACAAAAATTACAGCAGTGCAATTGTCACTGCAGTGATAAATGTGGGGTCTAAATACCAAAAGTTAACACAAATTCTTACTTACTTTGAACAAAAGAAGCCAGTAAACACCAGTCCCCACGGTCACAGCAAAAAACACATTGGCCAGAACTCCAGCATATATAACTAAGAACTGAATCACAGTCTAAAAATAAAGGAAGATGGTCTTTAAATAACCACTACAATCATTGTCATTTTTTATCCACTATGCTATTAAATAAAGCCTGTGGTATAATAATAAAACACTATGTTGTTCTCCGTATTTTAAGAAGCATGCATCTCACCTGCAAGTCAATGACCTGGCTACCTATCCGTCTTTTCCAAGCTGCAGTTTTGAGAAGGGACCACAGCACAGCCAGCCCACCAAGCACACCTAATGCCACCTGCGGTACCATGACAGGGGTCATATATATGCTGGACACAGAATATTAAACACACTGTGAAATTTATGGTAACTTACATCTGTCTGGGTGACAGAATCTGCCTGATTCATTTCATACTGAACAGAGAAGAAAACCTGAAACAGAAAACAAAAAGTTCACATAGTAATTTTTGATCAAACATAGACACACATTTGCATAATCTAAAAAATGAAGAGCTAGAGATTAAAGCTAGAGATTATACATCGCACACAAAATGATTCCACTTGATGAAGTCTGGGACAGTGCTAGGCCCTGCCGCTGTGTGAGTATTGGGAAAAGCAACATAGGGTTCACACTAATGCTGAGTGCAGGGCCCCAGAGTGTCTGTTACTGAGTGGAGAAAATTGGATTTTCAGTTTTTTCTGGGTTTTGCAATCATCTCCACATTAATAGGGCTCCAGTGCCATTCATCTTCTCCCTCAAGTTTAAGAGCAGTATTCTTCTCTTCAGAACACACTGTCACAAGTTTGCAGGCAGCTGACCATCACACAGAAGTATGAGAATACCTCTCCAAACTGAGATCAAGTGTTTCCGATGTTGGGTATTGTTATTTAGTAATACCTCAGCATACATGAATATTTTAGACAATTGTGCACGGCAGGTTGGAGAAGGCCCTTTTCCATTTCAGTATGATTGTGCCCCTGTGTACAAAGTCAGGTCCATAAAGACGTTTTGACCAGTTTGGTGTGGAGGAATGTTCTGCATACAGCCCTGTCCTCAACCCTGCCGAACACTTTTGTGCACAATTCCCAAAAACACCCTCCAAAAATTTTGTGGAAACTTACATTTCAAGGAACATGCTGTGGCCAAAGTTAAACAGCACGTTGTATTCAAACGGGCATTACCGTTACCAAACTCAACCAAACGTCTATGGGGTCGAACTGCAACCATCTGCAATGCATGCGGTAGCGCAGCATTTACAGGGTTAAATCAGGTGGTAAGGAGGCAACATAACGCCTCCTCACCGCCTGTCAAATGTCCTCTGAAGAGCAATCCAACACATATCGCTTTTAGAGGGCACTACATTTGTGAATGAGCCCTTAGTAAACACAGAGAATTGCCGTAGTAAAGAAGACATTATGGAATCTAATTAGTAGCTGATTTCTCCTTAAAAACCACCAAGATTTCTACAATTTTGTAAAAAGTATTTGCTCATTTTCTTTTTCTGGGTTTAGTGACATAACATGCAGTATGTAGACATACTCTGACTTCGTGATCTGATACAGAGTTCAGTTAAAGAAAATGCTTTTCTCTGTTGTATTCAATAAATACCTTCACAGTCTGGCTTTCTGGATTTTGTACTTGTATATCTGCGTATTCCACAGTCATGAGTGGGGGGTAAACTGTTCCTCTGTGGGTGCCAGGAACCAGGCTGATGCTGTAAGAGATGATAAATAAATCAATAGTGGTGGCTCCTGGGTAACATGTTCTTCCACTATTTTTCCTACCACCTCCCCCTCCCCCCCTTTTTTTTCTTGTTTCCCCTGTTTTCCCCCCTCTTCCTTTTTGCTCCCTTTTCTCAAGACATGGTATCTACTCAAATACCTTTAGTATTGTAAACCGATGCTTTATGGGAATATACTATGCTTTGTGCCGCACTCATTTTACTCTCTTTGAGGTGTACTCTTTTTTTTTTTTTTTTTTTTTTGTACAGTGAAAAAAAAAATCAATAAATACTCTCCAATTTAAAAAAAATACAGGAAAGCTTAATATACTTGTCAGTAAAGCAAACATTTTAATAGGAGGTACTTTTCCATCCAACTCCAGTGTTTAGTGATCTCTGTACTCCTGGAGAGGGCTCCGAAAGAAGCAGGTCACTTCTGTTAATGCTGCTCAAATGCTATTTGTGACTTTCTGGTCGGTGCCTTGAAAAGCCATGCCCACCAAACACCATTATCCAGAAAGCCGATTTTTAACAATTTCTGACAACCTTTTCAACCCAGCAATTTGGAGCACAGGTTAGGTGTCACAAAAGCATGCAAAGTCTATAACAGGGTGATTATCTGTAAAAGTACCAATGTACCTGATGGTGATTTTAGATGCGATACGAATCACACGAGGTGAACTGCTTAGAGTATTTTCTCGTCCACTTAGGGTGTCAACCAAAAATATTCGACGAGTCAGCAGCCAGTTGTTAACATTGTTTCCTTGTAAACATGTTTAACAGAAAGACACATTTTAAGAGCAAAACAAATGCAAACAAATTAATTATTATATAGTAAGGGACATCCTTTAATTTTACACAGCACAAAACTCTATGGTCTCCAACTCCCCTTGACTTATACCCAAGTCAAAAGACTACTTTTGTTAAAGAAAAAAAAAAAACACAACATACAGTATAACTTCTATACATAAGTCATTTTGTAATTATTCTTGCTAAAAATTACCTTTCCGTTTCAAATCAGCAGCAAAAAAATTTAAATGCTACTCCTTTGTGTCCATGTCAACCCTGGGGCATCCTTTATACTACTATCTCTGTAAAGAATGCCCACAGAAATGTAACTTAAGGAGACGTATGGTCAAAACTATTTTGACCATACTTCTCCTATGGATCACAGATGTGCACTTTGTTCTGCACTCCTGTGAGCCATTTTTAGCCTACAGCGGGAAAGCCTGCTGTTGGCTGATATCACTCAACCAGTCCAGGCTGGGGAAATATCCAAAAATATCCAAACTACAGTCGGGATCCACCAAAATACCTGGACTGGCAGCTGACTCAGCCTCTCAACTGCACTGCTGGGGGACTGGAGTGCTGGATGGGCAGAGTTGAGAGCTGATGACTTACAGTCACAGCTCTCTGCTCAGAGCTGAGGGGGAAAACTGAACAATCAGTGGTGTTTGATCGCGCAGTTCTCAGTGTAGAGGCAGCGGGGGGACAAATGCAGTACTGGATCGATGCTGCATCCACCTAGGCAAGTATACACATTTTTTATTGTAAACCCTGAACTTTTACTACTCATGTGACTGACTTGCTGCTTTTCCTAGTAGTTGTTCTCTTACTACAAATCTAGGACTGATCAAGTATTAATAATAGGCAGACACTCCCACTGAGCACTCCAGATGTAGGAGTTTATTAGAATCCATTTGCCATTTTCATCAGATGCAGGTAGAATTCTGAAGAGTGCTGTAATCCTTGCAATGTACATATTTACTTACAGGGTTTTTTTTTTCCTCAACATAGTTGTGGCCAACACTGCCAAAAAACAGTTATTAGGATTGTCAAGAACAAAAAGCCTGCTTGCAGTTCAAAGAGCTGCCTGAGGGACCTTAAGCCAGCATTAGATGCAGAAATATTCACCTGGTTAAAACATGAAGAGTGTGTGAACACAAGACCAGGTGGAAACCTTCCAAATTCATGAAATGGAACTGCCTTGAAGGAAGCCACCATAAGCCTCAAGTCTCTCATGCCACAAAGATCTGCAGATCTATGGCAGCAGTGGTCAGGCCAAAACATGGTGTGGCAGAGAGGAACTGCAGCGAGGACTGTGTGTAAAGGGGACTCTGCTAAAGGAGAACATGACTCTGGAAAGAGCTTCTAGATCCTTATTAGTGTGGTTCTTAAAGGAAGGGACATCCTATACTGGTTTGTACATGTGTACTGTGACCTAGCTTACAGTTTCTGCTTGCCAGTGTCCAATCTTCCTGTAGGTAGTAGTATAACATGAAGGTTTTAGACTTCCTGCATCCCTCAGTAGACAAGAGAGAAAAACATTTTCTTACAAAGTCCTTGAGTCATGTATTGCGTGTGCAACAGTTTCACTTTCTGTGGCATCCAATACAACAAACTAATTTAAGTACATCTGAGATCCTTTGTCTTAAAAGTCTACAGTTGTGTCATTGCTGCTGAATATACACTCTGGCTTTTTACATCTTTCAGGAATTACAGATGCATTCCAAATACCAGTTCTGTACAAATACTGCAACTATTACAAAGCCACATTCCTCCAATAGATTTTCTATAAATGTATAATACGGAAAAAATGCTTGTCCGGGAAAGAGATACCTTTGTTATTATCTTGTGACACAGAACAGAGCTAATAAGCATACCTAAACATACTTAGAAACTAACAGCTTCAGAACCAAAGTCTGAATCTGATCGGTGGCATAGAACAGGTCCTACTTGAGATAAATAATACGTGAGGGCAGTTATGAATAAATGGAATTTTACAGACTTACCTAAATTGACAAACTGGTCATTGTACTGGAGGTTAAGGTTTAGGACAGGTACAGGCCATATGTACTGCTGACTGTCACTTCCACGGTAGGAGAGATACACATCATAAAAGACGGGTTCTGGAAAGTCATGGAGGATCTTGGACACAGACAACTCACACTATGCAAGATAAACCATAGTAACATCAGAAATTCACAGCAAAACTGTAAATTGGAAAAAAAACCACACACAAAACCATCCAGTATATACAGATTGTGTTTATTATTTTGAAAGCACCTCTGTTGTGCACTAAGAACTCTCTGAATCTGGGTCTGCATGAGACACCACATACCACAATGCAATACCAATTGTCTTAATTGGTGGTGAGGCACCTGAGTGGCACTGTAATGGGGGAATTGCTTAGACCCATTTTTCAGATCCTGGGGCTTTTCACAGCGCAACAGAAGCACTTTTACACAGCAGACCATATAGCTTTCTGGTTACAATGCGTTGTTTGTTGGTATGCCATGAACTATGTCATGTACAACATCTAAACTGTAATACAGCCACTAGTGTGTACCTCTTTTAGGAATGTTGAACTTAAGATTATTTTGAAACACCTTCAAAAACTGGGGTAAAGGTACATTTTTAAAGCAGTAAAAGTTTCTGCCACTCAGTTCTTACATTTTGGTCATATGTTGTTCCAAATTCATATGCAGCATCCAACCGCTTGGAAGTGTCAGGACACAACTGTAAAGAAAGGAAAACAGACAATAAATAGAGAGTTTCACACCTTTTGAATCCATAATTTTCCCTTTAATCAGTAACACAAGAAGGTGCAATATACTCCGAATTTATGATCTCTCAGTTCTCCTTAAAAGTAACCTGACATATGGATGCTGATCTACTAATGGAGTTTAGAATCTTTACACAATCTTTATCCAATCATGTAAAAAGCTAATGCCTGACCAGTGTGTTCTGGTGGAGGACAGTCCCCCTGTCAGAACACAGTAGCTCAGTGGGGGGAATCGCTGTACTAACAATAAATAATTAGTACAGCAAGCTCCTCTCAATCTCATCAGTTTTGTTTTTTTTTCATTCAGCCCACTGGAAAAAAAAACTGATAGTGTGTACTAGGCATGAATGTACAGTATGACCTGTTTAACTCTACCATTACTAAAGATAAAAAAAGTAATACATAATTTTTAGGGACAAACAAGTGTTTCAAATGTCAATACTGTCTTGCAAAATAGTTTTGATTTTTTTATGCAATCTATAGACAAGAAGACATAATAAAACAAAAATATATGCTTTGTCCTAGTTTGACCAATGTTAGGTTCTTAAAACAACTAGTGTTACTTTACCATAGATAAAAAGTGCACACTTTATTTTACAATTTGTCCCCTTTTTTTAACGCAGACTGTTAGACAGGACCATTCGGTTGATTGCAGGCTGGTTGGTAAGTTGAGCTGGGAATTTTTCTCTCTTATTGTTTGACATGCGTCACCTTTCCATGTACTCCTTCCTGTGAAGGCCAGTTATAGATTGGAGCAGTGGCAATTTGTAATTCAGGGAAAAAAAATACTAAAATTAATTTTAGTGCACACAAACACATTATAATACCCATTTTTCTTGCCCTTACTCTGACATTCTCAGCGATACCTCACATGAGTGGTGCAATTGCTGTTTACATATGTGTGCGTGACCTATGGGTGATGGTCCTTCTCACTTAAAAGTGATCATATGGCTGTAGAACCACCTGGATCATGTTAACTAAAGAGCCAATCTCTGGCTGTAAAAAATATCACTAAACTCTTGGCTGCCTCTGCAGACATAAATTTGTTATAACCGCTTGAGGACAGGAAGTATATACACATATGGCAGTCAGCACATGGTCATGTAGAACTCTGGGAATCATTTCCCATGACAGACTTACTGTAGGCCAGCTTGGTTAAATCCAGTTCTACATGTCATAATTGTAAGGACGCCGGGGATTCCACAGTCCACTGTAATAGCATTTGCTTCATACAGTAAGCTGTGCCCTCTTCCAGAGAGTCAAAAGCAACTCCCCTCTGCTACCAGAAACAAAAGAGCGCTCCTCACTTCTGTCCCTCCAACACCCAGGAGCTACCTTGTAGTCTGCAGAGGTGACGAGGAAGGGTAGATGACGTCATGCTCTTCACTTCACCCAATCAGAGCCTACCTAGTATTTGTTGACAAAACTACAAGGCAGTTCTTGGGTGTTGGAGGGACAGGAGTCAGGAGCACTCCTTTGTTTCTGGAATCAGAGGAGAGACGCTCCTACCCCTCCAGAGGTGGTCACACCTTACTGTATGTAGCAAAGGCTACCACGGTGGATTTGTTTATTTAAAATCATATCCAAAATTATTCACTGTATATAATAAAATAAATTCCCTGTGTAATGACACTTAAAAGTCCCACTTTCACCCTTGAAAGTCCTAATACAGTATAAATAGAATATTGCTGTATGTGTATTAGTAAAAAATTACGTCCCCGCATAGTTCGTAATATGTATTATATAACAAATATTGCTTAGTAAGAGTATATGGAGTATGAAAATCTGAGTTATAGGAAGTGATATAGGTTTGTAAGATCGTGGCAATGTGGAATTATCATCTTTCCCTTAAATATAATGGTGGCGAAGGACTGGCTGCCAATTAGGCAGACGGAGGTAAATGTGGCAGCCGATCCAATGGATACACCCCTTATGAGGAAGTCAGGAAGTGCCGAAACGCATCAAGGTACGTGACGTTGGACATTGCACAAAAAATTGGAAGTGGCGGAGCGGCCATCTTAAGTGACGTTTACCACATTTGGCGTTCCAGGAAGCTGCTTGAGGTGGCGTTATGGGAATACATGCATTTTTATGATTTCTAAATGTAAGCACATTTATTAAAGTCTGGATCTTTTATAATTGAACATACTACACTATATGGCTGTTATTTCTTCTATCTATGAGTAACATGGAGAAAATGAAGGCAGGAGTATATGAATGAATAATTTGTGATCTGAATGTATTCCTGTGGATATTGGAGTGAGGTTCCACTGGATTACTATTTTCTGGATTACTAGCTTTGAAGGCTGGTTTATTATCTAATTAGGGTAAGGGTATGTGATTCAGCCACTTAGATGTGTTCACAGAAGAATGTGTATATAGAAGTTTGCTTCACTATCATAAGTGTTTTCACGTTTTTGTGTGTTTTTATTTGCACAAAAAAGTTTTTCTTCTCTTTTTGGATTTAATTGTTATATAATTTATTTATTGTTTTATTGAGGATAATACACTATCCAGTTTTCCTTTGTTTGGAGGTACACAGCAATTTTGGAGTCACACGGTGAATTTAAATCAGAATTGGTATGAATAATTTTTTTTGGACTTTGATTTTTGTGGATTTTTGGATATTTCACAGACACTGGAAAGGTTTATATAATACCACGGTGGATTGCCAAGTCTCCAGTGCTCATTACAGTTATGGCATTTGTAGGATCAGTTTTAACCAAGGTGGCCCAAAGTAAGTCTTTCATGTAAATGTGTTCCTAGTTTAAAGTGGTTGAAAGTGGTTGTAAACCCTTACATATACCCAGTGAAGTGACTAGCCTCAGGTGATACACAAAGATTAAACAAATTCTCTGACATAACTTGTACCTAATTATCTGCAGTCTTCTCCTCTCTACCTTCAATGTTCAGAATTGAAACAGCTCGTCTGAGCTTTCAGAAAGCAGGGGACAGGTAGCTGAAGTTACACTCAGTTAGGAGAGCTGTTTGAAAGGAGGGGACCCCCCCTTCAGAAAACACACAGGAACAGAGATGAGGCTGTCAATCACAAGCTGTGTGCTGGAGCTCCCTCCCCTATCACCTTTTTACCTCTTGGCATCAGGAAAACTTATCAGAAGTAACTCATGCAGGTAGCAGGAATAAGGCAACAGAGAGAAATGACATCTAGTGTTCTGGATTGAAACCTGTATACACTATTGAAGGATATACATTTGTTCATATTTCATGTCAGAGATTTACCACCACTTTAAGTTTTTCAGATCATATGCCACATGCCCTAGGTCCTCTGCTGGTTAAGGAAAATACAGTACTTCCAATTACCTGCAGTAAGCCTCCATGAAGTGACCTCCAAGCAATGAACTTCCCGCTTACATCATACAAAGCTGCTAAAAATGCCAGTTTTGTGTTCTGTGCCTGAAATTAAATATAACATCATATTTCACTGACAAAATTATATTAATTCCGGAGTTTAAAAAGATGGCCCTTTGAAATATCTTATTCACCAAAGTAATTTTCTTCAATCACCAATCACATTACACAGATCTGTCTACCCACTTCACTTTTCCAGCTTAGTGGTTCACCTCCCAGCTCGTTGTATAGGGGTCATGAAGATGATTTATTGCCTACTGAACAGCCAGAGGGGTGACACAGGAAGCTAAATTAATGAAACAGGAAGTACGGGTGTCATCTGCATGGAATTGTGCACTGACAGAAATGTGTAAATTAAACAAAATTACGAGTTATTTGGCAGATAAAACATACATACAGTGGGGATCGAAAGTTTGGGCACCCCAGCTAAAAATGTGTATTAATGTGCATAAAGAAGCCAAGGAAAGATGGAAAAATCTCCAAAAGGCATCAAATTACAGATTAGACATTCTTATAATATGTCAACAAAAGTTAGATTTTATTTCCATCATTTACACTTTCAAAATAACAGAAAACAAAAAAAATGGCGTCTGCAAAAGTTTGGGCACCCTGCAGAGTTAATATCTTGTACTGCCCCCTTTGGCAAGTATCACAGCTTGTAAACGCTTTTTGTAGCCAGCCAAGAGTCTTTCAATTCTTGTTTGAGGTATCTTTGCCCATTCTTCCTTACAAAAGTCTTCCAGTTCTTTGAGATTTCTGGGCTGTCTGTCACGCACTGCTCTTTTAAGGTCTATCCATAGATTTTCAATTATGTTGAGGTCAGGAGATTGTGAAGGCCATGGCAAAACCTTCAGTTTACGCCTCTTGATGTAATCCCTGTGGATTTCGAGGTGTGTTTAGGATCATTATCCATTTGTAGAAGCCATCCTCTCTTTAACTTCAGCTTTTTCACAGATGGCATCAAGTTACCATCCAAAATTTGCTGAAATTTTATTGAATCCATTTTTCCTTCTACTCGTGAGATGTTCCCTGTGCCACTGGCTGCAACACAACCCCAAAGCATGATTGATCCAACCCCATGCTTAACAGTTGGACAGAGGTTCTTTTCATTAAATTCTGTGCCCCTCTTCTCCAAACAAACCTTTGCTCATTCCGGCCAAAAAGTTCAATTTTAACCTCATCGGTCCACAGAACTTGTTTCCAAAATGCATCAGGCTTGTCTATATGTTCATTTGCAAAGTTCAAACGATGATTTTTGTGGTGAGGACGTAGAAGAGGTTTTCTTCTGATGACTCTTCCATGAAGACCATATTTGTACAAGTATCTCTTTATAGTGGAATAGTGTACTACAACTCCAGTGTCTGCCAGATCTTTCTGGAGGGATCGTGCAGTCAAACGTGGGTTTTGAATTGTTTTTCTCACAATCCTGCGAGCTGTTCTGTCTGATATTTTTCTTGGTCTTCCAGATCTTGCTTTAACTTCCACTGTTCCTGATGACTGCCATTTCTTAATTACATTCCGAACAGAGGATATTGACATCTGAAAACGCTTTGCTATCTTCTTATAGCCTTCTTCAGCTTTGTGAGCGTCA